TGGTGCTGGTGGTGCTGGCGGTGGTGGTGTCGCTGGTGCTGGTGCTGGTGCTGGTGCTGGTGCCGGTGTTGGTGCTGGTGCTGGCGTTGGTGCGGCGGTGGTGGTGGTGGTGGTGGTGGTGGTGGTGGTGGTGGCGGTGGCGGTGGCGGTGGTGGCGGTGGTGGTGGTGATGGCGATCATGACCATGATGATGATCATGATGATGATCATGATGATGATCATGATGATGAACATGATGATGATCATGATGATGATCATGATGATGAACATGGTGATGATCATGGTCATGATGATCATGATGATGCTGATGATAATGATCATGATGATGATGACGACGACGATGATGATGATGCTGTTGACGATGACCTTGATGATGACCATGATGATGATCATGGCGATGACGATGATGATGATGATGAGGGTGACAATCATGATGACGAAGATGATGACGATGTGTTGTTGATCAGGATGATGATGATGATGATGGTGGTGGTGACGATGATGATGATGATGATGGTGATGATGACAGCGATTTCGGTGTTGATGTGCGTGTGGTTTGCGTGCTTTGCTAGCAACATGACACTCGAACTTGCTTGGTTGCATGGCACATCAGAGCTCTGAAACCCGCGGCTCAAAGCTCCGAGCGGATGAAGTTTAATCAAGTATCCCTATTGAATACCCTACTCATAGCCATGTCATAGCAGCCTTCCCTAGTCGACTTGGAAAAACCCCCCTTGATCCTTGTAGTGACATTGTAGTGCGGCGTGGATTTCGAGGTTTTGGGCGCCCGGAGCTCGAGGAGTGACTGTTGGATAGTTTGGGGGACACTTCTGGTTTTTCCGCTAGGAAAGTGCTCAGACTGTAAAGGGCTTGATGCTGCATTCTGAAAACTGACAACCCCGCGAAGAAGGCTAACATAGGGCCGAATCACTGGAACGAGGTTTCGGTGTAGATAATACGATACTCCTATCGGAACAAAAAGGCAGGCTACGAACAGACTTCTTCAGACCACTGTTCATAGAGAAGGTCAAACAGGGCAACAGGCCCACACATGTCGACACCAAGCTTATGACTTGGGGTCTAGGGTTTAGGCCTTAGTCTAAGGTGTATGGTTTTGGGGCCTGGGGTTGAGGCTTGTTTTAGCTTGGGGTCTTGGTTTGCGGGCTTCAGGGGTTTAGGATTGGAGGCTTCTGCCTTTGCTTCGCGTTGGGCTTCCGGCTCTTGGGGCTGGGTTTAGGGTTTAGGGTTTAGGGTCCGAGTCTCAGATCTTCCCGAGGATGCCTCCGAACGACACATTCTCGGTCTTGTCCTCTGAGCTTCGAAGTGTCTTTTTTCCGGGGCTCTTGGCTCAGATGTCTGCGATTTATTCCCCAAGAGGTCGAAGGCGTCGCAGAAGGTCGTTTTACCTAATATAGTAGGATAAGAACAGGCTTTGGGAAGGTATATATTATCGGTTGAAAGCATGTGCAAAGCCAGAGCAGAGGGCGCTTCAGGGGGTTTAGGGCTGAGGGTTTAGGGTTCAGTCCGACCCCCCAGTGCTTCGAGCTCACTTGGCTTAAGCTAGCCACTGGGTGGAGATTCGGAATTTGCGGCTCAGGAGAGCAGGGAGCAACCCGAAACCTGACACCCCGGAACCCTAAATCGACACGAAGCGCAACTAAGCGCCTGATCGCAAGATGCTAGGCCCCAAACCCCGAAGTAGCCTAGATTGCCCTAAGACTGTCCATCTGAACCGTGCAGCAGCTCTTGACCCTGCAACCATTCTGTCATATGGAGGCCTAACTAAATGGTTTGGACCAGGATAGCGGGGGAGTAGGAAGCTCTATCGAGAGATACTATCACTTGTCCAGGTGCCTCTGGTAGACCCTAATCCCCAAACCCAAAACCCAAACCCAACATCCGAAACCTTCCCCCCCCCCTTGCCCGAAAGCCCCCCCCCCCACCCTAAGGGGCACTGCAGCAGGGAGTCGGGAGCTTGGGGGGTACCAACCACAGGACCTCCCGAAATCGCCCCAAACCGGAGCCTGAGACCCTAAACCACGCGACAGCCCCCAATCCTCAAGGCAACGTCCCAAAACGGTGAAGCCTCGACCATAACCCTATATCCAGAGCCACCAAGCTTAGATCCTAAACCTTAAATCCTGCACTGAATCCTGCACGAACCTCAACATCCTGAAGCTTGAACGCCCTAAACCCCCAAACCGTCTCACAACTCGCGCTCCTTCGATGCCGCGTTCTCTTGCCTGGGCTCGGCAGCACGATAGGCCTCCTGGCATTTGTGCTTTGGGGCTTGGGAGGCTTCAAAGTCTTCATGCTTAGGGTTTAGGGTTTAGGGTTTGAGGGGTTTAGGTTTTGGAGTTTGGGGAGCATCTTTGACACTCGGGGCGTCAGTGGCTTCGGGACGAAGGGCTTGGGCCATCTAGAAAGCCTAGGGTTTAAGGCTTCGGGTATAACGGTCCAAACTCCCACTCAAACCCCACAAAAACGAACTCCAAAGGTATTTCGCCGTGCTGACATTTGAGGCAGTGGGGCCTCACAGGGCGAATCAGGTGCGGCGCAACGCCCCTGTAAAGCAACCAGGCCTGCAAATCCCTTACGCGTAGACTTTCATCCTAAGACAGAAAGCTACAGAATTACCCTGCAAGGGTCCTGTGGGCTCTATGCGATGCTTGTACGAAGGAACTTCAGGGATTCAGACACCGCTGTAGTCCTCCGGACCAAAGGTTGCAGCTAAAGCCGAGAGCTCCCTAAGCCCTAAGCCCCCCCCTTCTGGAGATACCCCAGACCGGGCAGACTCAACTCCAAGAACCCCCGCTTCCCCCAGCCGCAAAATGGATCCCGAAAGCGCCTCAGCACCTGGGCCGGGGATAAAAAGGTGTTGCCTCGGGGCCTCTAGTTAGGCTTCACCCGGGTCGAATCAGGGTTTGAGGCTTCATGTTGGTGGGTTTTTTGTGCTAAGGCTCTGACAGGGTTGAAAGCTTTCCGGGGTTGGTGTCTAGAAGGGTCTGGGTTTCAGGGTTAAGGCTTTGGGGCTTCGGGCTCCAAAGATGCGGCCTAGGTCTTGGCCTTGTGTTTGGCGAGAGCCCTGAAGCTTTGAAGACCCTCAAGCCCACCTCACAAGCCGAAAATAAGAAGCCCTCAACCCAAACGTAAAGCCTAAAGCCCCGCAAGCCAAGCCAACAACCCTGTCACCAAGACTTGCGGACCCTCAACGCTTGCAGCTTCCAACCCCAAAAAATGTCGGACCGGACAGGCTGTAAGGTTTGATGTAGGGGCCTCTATAATTGGAATAGGCTTTTGGGACATATTATACTGAAACTCTACTAAGGAACCCCCCAAGATAGTATTGGTAATTATTTAGGCCCCTATATTGGGCTCAAGGCTTTAGGGCTTTAAGGGCTTTCCGAGCTTTCGAGTTTCGGACTTGGCTTTCGGGCTCTGGGCTTTGGAAGCCCCAGGCGCTTGTCTTGAGGAGCCATCGCAGAAGAAAGGCGCCAAGAAGGCAGCACACTACCCCGGCGACAACCAGGCCGACCCACCTCGTGGACTGCTGAGGTCTTCTTCTCTGGGCGGTAGAGGCTTGGAAGTTTAAATCGGCATTCAAGCCCAAACCAAAAAAAATACAGAGAAGTTGTCGGGCTGAAGGGCTGAATGCTGTGGCTTTGTCGAGGCGGAGCTTCCGGTTGATCATTCAACTCCGGCTTTCGCAGTGTATTCGACGTTCTTCTGCAGGCACCGTAACGGGTATTGTCTCGCAGAGTATACAGTGAACACAGAGGGATATTCTTTCTAATCATACACAAGGACGAGAGATTTGGGACGAGCCCGGCCAAAAGGCTGGAAAAGACCCAAGTCCGACATTTGGGGTTTAGGGTGACCCACCCGTTAAGTGTAGATTGTTGCAGGACTATATTGTGTTGTGTTATTTGCTAATGGCATATCTATGCATGACCGTCTTGTAGACTCTGCGGCTCCACCTCGACTTCCGAACAACTGCAACCCTAAATCACTCCATCATCCCTGACTATCATGAAACGTACGAGCTGCTTATGACTACCATGAACGCTGATGCGAACATCGGAAAGGCGAAGAACGAGACTAGACACGAGTAGAAGACGAGTGAAAAAAAGAAACCCTAAAACAACCTGAACAAGAAGCTACAAATGTGGAGACAAGCGGCCAGATCACGGTAGCCTCCTGCGGCACATCGTCCTCATGCCAAGCAGATCAATGCGAGGGCTTGTGGCTCTGAGCGACGAGTTTGACGACTTGAACTCTGAGTGTTCTAAAGGGCACTTTTCTGTGCTCGGGGTTGAGGGTTTAGGGCTTAAGTGTCAGGGCGCAAGGTTTCGAACTTACGGACAAAGAAGAGGATTAGATAGGTCAAGAGAACTACGGAGTCGCTCACCACACTCCAAACCGCAAGGCCCTAAACCCTAAAGACCCCTAATACACTCAAAACGAGGGAGCCTGAATGAATTATATACATATATACATATATCTACATGTATAGATGTGTGTGTATATATATATACATACTATCTAAGCATATACGTATATACTTACATGCATGCCCCAAAACCTGTTCTAATTGATTAACTGCACCCTTCCATCTGAAGCGTGCGCGATATGCCAACTCCAAGCTGATGGCACACGGGTATACTGGACCAATGCGCGGAGCTGCTCTACACTTCATGGCATTTCGGGTTTAGGATTTAGGGCTTAGGGGGGTTAGGATTTAGGATTTAGGGTTTAGGGTTTAGGATTTAGGGTTTAGGGTTTAGGGAGGACTTCCCCTGAGACGAACCATCACACATCCTCCCCTGCAGGAAAGACCCCCTGGTTCAGGCCTCAGGGTTGCTGGGTCTGCTCTGTCCATCCCTACATCTCGCACCCTGCAGCTGAAGCTCTACATTCTGTGCTTTCAACGCCCGAAGCCTATGACCTCAGACCAAGATTGAAGCCTCTTTCCCCCGATAGCCTCAAGCTCAGAGTTGCTAAAGCCTAGATACAGGGAGATGGCGCCATAGAAGCCCGAAAGCCACACACTCCAATAGCCTAAACCATACCCCAAGATCAGAAACCCAATGCTCTGAAGCCCCCTAAGCCCAAAAACTTGCGCCGACATGACCCAAGAGCTTCAATCTCAAGCCGTGCCGAGATCCCACAGCGCGCAGCCGGAAACCCGAAATCCCCATCAAGTACTTTAGGCTTTCTGTCCAAAACCGAAACCCCAAGCCCGGCACCCTAAAACCTGAATCCGAAACCCGTGCCTCGTGGCTTACGGTCTCGGATATAAAGTTTAGGGTTTAGGGCTTTAGGGTTTAGGGTTTAGGGTTTAGGGTTTAGGGTTTAGGGTTTAGGGCTTTTTTTTTTTTAAAGCTCCTTTTTCCAAAGCCCGAAGGTCTTCGAAAGGCAGATACAGCCAGGACTGAGGGCCACTTTACGTCCCCCAGAGAAAAACACTCATCACACTCCGCCATCACCCCTCGTTCACATCGTTCGTACCCTCATGCGGTGGACCGGCTGCGCATTCCGACACCTCCACCGCTCGATCTTGAGTCCAGACTCCTGCCTGTTCCAAGTCAACTGACGCTCGCAGCAAGTCCAACACCTGTTGCCCAAACCTGCTCACAACCTCATGGTCCCCAATGTCCCCCGAAGACCAGTCCCGAAGAAGGGCTCCAAACTCATCGTGAGTAATGCTATCAGCCTCACCTTGAGTAGGCAGGCTGGCTCGCAGGGCCCACTGCGTCTGAAGCATATC